TTTTTCTTAAAGATATGCCTTCGATTGAGCTTTAATTTCACATTTTTTAATGTCACCAGATTCTACATCCGAGCCTTTGCATTCGCTGGAGGAATCTAAAGTTATTTTTAGGTTGTTATAAGACTTTTAGCAGTACTTGTTGAAGGCCCGTCAATGTTGCTTGATATACTTAACCTGAAGCTAAATGCCGGTTATTGTCCGCACCCTGGTTAGACAGACTTAGAGCGATTTCAGCAATATTAGAGTGGACTTCCTGGTCATGTACACATTCGCATTCGAAAAACATTCGTACCATTTGATGCGAATGCGAATGCGTAAAATGATGCGAATCATTCGCATAACGAATGCGAATGCAAATATTCGCAATATCCCGGATATGTATGTATGTACATAAATATATATATATTTGTTTTCCAAAATTATCCATTTCAAATCATTCTCTAAATTTTTGTGCATCATCAACTAATACCTAAGCTCTGAAGAACATTTCCCCACATTGTTTATTTCGTCCATGGATCCGATTCAAATTAATGTCTGTTCTCAAAATTAAAATCATGAAGTATATGAAAGTTACTTTTCATTCCCATTCAAGGTCTCTGTAAAATATAAATAGGTGTATTTGAAAACAGCCACACTTCCTAGCAGCACACACACAAACACACAGCACACGCAGGTCCGCTTGATAACAACAGGCATGTATGTATATTTCACATACGAGCACATCAGGAGAGAGTTCCAGAAATTGTGTATTAATGAAAACACTACATTCACGGCATTATTCAAAAATTAAAACATTGATAAGAAATTAAAGGAAAGTAAAAGTGGAGCTTGCAGATCGGAGAAGAAGTAAAGTATGTGTGCAATGTTAAGTTTTAGTTTAAAATATCAGAAAGTTAAGCTAAAAGTTTATAATATTGAAATACTCAATTTTCGTGATAGCAAAAGACAAAAGACAGAATTCTTTTAATTTTGTCATTAAATAAAATGATTTTTTGTGTATACAGTTTCTTTAATTTTTATTTTTATTATTACTATCAAGGCGAATTCATATATAATTTATAAATTATATATGAATTCGCC